GCCCCGGAAAAAATGGCCCCGGAAAATATGGCCCCGGAATAAATGGCCCCGGTAAAAATGGCCCCATATGACAGGTAGGTAAAAATGGCCCCAATAATCAAATTCTGTATTAAATATATGCATTTTTTTATCTTAAATAATTTAGTTTTTAAATGGAATCTAACATCAAACAAATTGCCATTTACATTTTTCTTTTTGCAAGAATTAATATTCAATGATAAAATATTTAAAGATAAATAAAAAGCCATGAATTACACTTTTTATTATTTTTTTTCATTTAAATGTTAAAAAATAGCAACAACATAATCAATAAATCAACATAAATCATGCATTTAATAATACTAAAATAATTTACTTGTAACCGATTTCACGGAAGCGGAATCACAATTTTCCAGAAATTCAATCTGTGTATTGGTAAACCCCACAAACAGTGGGTTAGTATGAACATCAAATTATTATTATTTTTTTTTAAAGAAAAAGAGAGTTCTACAATCATAATTATATGGTTTAGATGGGGTTTGCAGTGTGTTTAGAGGTTTGTGGTGTATTTGCAAGTATTTGTTCATAAAAAATCTAAATTTTAACCAAAAAATAGTTATGAATGTATTTAATTTTCTTATTGATATACCAAGTATTTGGTATATTTACAATTTTCACCTATAAACCTCTTAATTTCACAAAAGAGTGGGTTCTTTTCCAAACAAATACATCCTTCCTAATATTGTGTGTTTAGAATAGATTTTGTGCTTTAACTTTGGAAACTGAGATCATTTTAGATACTATTTCTGTATAAACTAAATTTTTTTTCATATTACTGTAAACCTAATGGGTTTTGATAAATTTACTCTGCACTACGGAATTTCCAATAAAAAAAAAAAAAATTAATTAAAAAGACCAGAGATTAAAAATAAGTAAGGCGTAACATATTTTTAATCTATGTTAAAGCATAACTATTTTTACATAATTTACTAAATCAAATTATTATTTGTGGCTTTTTTTTATTAAATCAATTAAGAACATAATCTCAAAACAAAATTTAATGACAAGAAAGATCGACGTTTCAGGTCCATCATGGAACCATTTTCAAGATCAAGTAAATTGAAAAAAAAACTAAAAACAAAAATACCAAGCAGTGAAGTAAGTAATTAATTTACATATCAATAGGGCCTACTGTGTGGAGCCACAGTGGAGCTAAGCAATAATTAGCCTTTCTTTGCAGATTAACTAGATAAACAGTTTGGCTTTGACTGAATCAGTTTGTTTGTTAAGTGTAGGTTTCAGTTCTTTGATCCAAAGCATTTATTTAATTAAGCAATCAAACTTGGATTTGCACTTATATAAAATCTTGAAATAATTAACAGTTTCGGTAGCACTAATATAATGATCTTTTAAATGTTGTCCTATGTTAGCTTTACTGTGCATAATCATTTCTTATTTAAAATAGAATTATTTAATTAATCAGTAACTTGTGTTTTTTTTTAATGAAATTAATGATTTTCTTTAAAAAGAAGCTACCCAAGGCGAGACTTTTTTATGCCTTGTTTGACGAACTCGCTGACTGTTTTACTGTACTGTTGTATTCCTACTAAGAAGTTTCTAATACTAATTTAACAGCATCTTTTTTAACGCATGCAATGTTACTATTTTTTTAAAGTTGCTTTGTAAGTTACAGCATTGTAACAATTTATTGCCAATATTATTATTATTATTATTATTATTATTGTCAT